TTCCCTCCTCGTTCTCACAGTCAGTGAGGTCGGATTCGGTCAGAAACACCTCTTCATCTTGTTGGGTTTGATCTGTGTCAGCTGACCGGTCATCAGATGATTCAGTCTCTGACTGTTGTGAGGAGAGNTGAGGAGAGACGAATATCGGTCAAAACAGACTTCCTGTGATGATCTTCCAAACACGCTTTAGACAGCAAACGTAACTGTAACGGTAGAGTAGATTTAAGTTGTTGAATCGTGTCAAGACAGGTGCGCATCTGAGTGAGATCTTCCACTTCCGGTACCAAATTACGTTTCTCCAATCGAATTTGTTCGTAGGCAACAATCCAATCGTTTTGGGCGCGCATATCTGAGGCGTTCAAACGTTTCATCTGTGCTGTGAGTGTATTCAGTTTGCGCATTTGTCGTTCATTGTGATCTAATAACCAACGAATCGAACCGGTTAGCAGACTCAATGATTTGCCGGTACCCGTAGGACTTTCCAGTACGGCGCAATGACCGTGTTCCGCCGCCTCGTACAATACGCGCATTAAGGCGAGTTGCTGCGGATATGGGTTGGGGTAAGGGAAATCCGGAAAGGATTGTGGCACCGGAAGGTGGTCTGTGCATGTATTGGCCGAATTTTCGGTGGTTAACGTTTCGTTTATATCGATCTCGGCGAGAAAATAATCACCATCAACATCCGCGTGAAAGTCATCCATCAGTGATACAGAACGTTTTCTACAAATTCCCGATGTAAATGAGTATGACCTAAAATGTTCCGTGAACGAAGAGAGAAAGCTCCGCATTATGGTAGACAGGGACCATACGAAAAATGTGCATAGATAAGTATCTTTTGATAACAGTGACAAAAGAGTGCCAGTACCAGTGCTGTGACCCGGTTCAACACCGAGTATGTCATACCAGAACTTTACGCAGTTGAATCCAGGTTACAGGGGTTAGCTTTTCTATCTTCATCATCGAACAGTGGATCCTCGGGGCGAATAATGTTCAGCACACAAAGATATACTATCAAAAATAACTCAACTAAATTCGACCACTCAAAGTGAATAAGATTTCTCTTAGATTTCGGTTGAAATTTGTTCTGTGAATGTATTTTGTCGATGGCGCATAAAGGTAAAATATACTGCTTTAGCAACAAAATGTTTTGAGGGTGCATTCAGACAAAAATCCACAGCGAACAGCATTCTGCTTTGTAGCTAATCACCTCAACAGCCGATAAAAGCATTGAAAACAAACTGCTCCAACTAGTGAAAATTGGAGACACACGCTTCGGTCAAAGAATATCCGCAGCGAAATGGTGTTATTTAGGCTAGTTTATCCTCTGGACAGAAATTACTAAACACAGAATAATGAAGATGAAGGGAATAGAGATAAGTATACAGAAAATGATAGGAGACAGGAAAAAGTGGTGGAGCATGGAACGGATAACGGACTAAAGCCTAGTAAATTTCCGATAGAGTATGGAGAACGAATTAGCTGAAGAGAAGAAAGGTAACAGACTACATATCGTCGCCCATGACACATATTCTCCTCTGAGTCGAATCAATCCAGTTGCCTTTGACTTACCAGTCAGATTCTAAAAGGCTTAATCGAAACATAAGTTTCATTTGCAGGTTACCAATCTGTAATTTCTAGTTACTTATAGTACCTGCAGTAGTTAAGACTGAGATGTTGACATGGGCCTTTTATACATCGCTAAACTGGGGTCTCGAAGGTACTGAGGTTGCGAACCCAACAAAAATGAAAGCGAAAGCGGAAATTCTAGTACAGAGGAAGGAAATGAAACAAATTGAAATAGATTGCATGGAACAACAATGTAATGTCAAAGTACTTCCTTTTTCGTTCCTTTTTTACTTTTCTGTGTTACATGAAGGATGATGACCACGAATTAGACTCTCATATACAGAAGTGACTACCTATCAACCATATCAGCGGGAGATGCTAAGGTTAAACCCCCGGGAAGGTTTCGTTTCAGCGGACAACGCAGCTGCATACATCAATTCAACACAAATTAGATGTACCCCAAGAGCCCCGACATGGTTATGCACGATGACTTGATAAAAACAAATTTATTATTCAATGGAATGGTAATTTCACGAGCGATGAGAAATGAGACCCGTGCAGAAACATGATATATAGAAACTGGTGACTGGGAGTTCGCAAGGGCAACGCCGGGGAATGTCTAAAATAAGTACTGTTAAAGATGGAAAAAAATGTGCGTCTATTTCACCGAACTAGTCCATTAAAAGTACGTACCTACGGTACGGTCAAACGAAGACCTGGCATGAGGGCATGGAAACCCTAATCAAGAGTTTAGGTCATGTAGGCCCCGTTAGGCTCCCTGGTTGGGGACCCTGAGATCATGGGCACCGATGGTTAGAGAATCTTTGTGATATCGCTGGGTGTCGCAAACAGTGACGCTTGTGCATCTACTCATTATTGTCCTAACACCACTCTATACGAATTCTCTATCTTCCGCTTAAATTTGATTTCAACATTCTAATCTTTATTCTGCTCGTTTATCCAAATTCGAAACCAAAAAAACAGCAACCAAAATCGGCGCACGAAAGTGTATGGTTAATGGTTGTAAAAACTGAAAACTACGGTACAATAATCACACTTTCCACATAAATATAGGTGCGTCAGGAGTTCGCATACACACCAAACAATCAGATTCTCAAACGGCCCACGTCGAATTCTCAATCTCATTACTGAGACACAGACACAACCAGGAATCAAAAATGACATCATAAACGTGACGTTCTGCGTAACTTGAACCAACAAGTTCTGGTGCACAAAGGCACACGCACAGTTTCCCCTCTAAATCCGTGTGAACATCTATGCGTTCACTGCAACGCAGATAGCAGTGAGGGAGATGTTCCGGGCACAGCCTATAGCGAACGCGGTGGACGCAGTGAATCGATAATGCACCGGAGTTGGGTTCAAGCTACACATAAATCTACGCCAAAGATAAGTCATTTTAACTACTGATTCGACCTGTAGTAGTAAAACTGAGAGGTTGACTTCGGTCGTTTGGGAATCTGACTACTTGGTGTACGAGAACTCCTGATGTACAGGTATATGGACGAACAGCAGATCCTGGGAACTATGCATTTCTACACCCGAAGTGTGTGATGAAAACAATAAAGGATAAACCATAGAAAACATTTATTTACTCCCTGTTAGCCAGACAAAGATTTGCAATGTTCAGAACTGGGGTTGAAGTACAAAGCTAGTGGCTGATCCGGCACCCGGTCACTAAGTACGTCAACCTGGCCGATGATGAAACGATTGACAATAAACTGCCCGGGTCAAAAGGAAGTGATATAATCAGGGTTACGAGAACAGATTCTATTAGTTGGACGTAAGTGTTCCATTGTGGAACTCGAAGAATTGCAAACAATCTCTTCCTATGCCCTTTTTACACACGCACACTCACACCATATGGTTCATTGCTAGGATTCAGGACAGTGCGTATACTGGGTCTCACATTTCCTTATGAGAAGAGTCAAACAAACGTAACTGCACCTTTTCAACTCCTGATTTACCGATTTTCAATATCCGGGACATCAACATATCAGGGTGCATGTATGGAAGAGAAACGTGTGGGGATCAATTTTGATCGGTTCGTCAAAGTCGGTCAATTTGTGTCAACGATTGTGAACAGAAAACTTCGACATTCGGTAGAAGTTGCAAAAACTAGGTATTCCACTAAGTGGTATGCGAATGTGAATACTGGTGAACGATTAACTGCAGGCCGTCATAAAAGATCAAACATCAGGTGAAATACGTCTCTGAGTCTCCAGTTATGGTTGGTAGTAAAAATTACGAGAATGAATGATAGATCATGAGTGGGTCCAGTCGCGGCATCAGGATGATCACAAAAAGTAATCAAGCGTCTCCCGACAGAAGTTACTACCCGAAGCAATAACACTCCAAAATGGAAGGGTCATGTGATGAATACGTAATTAATGTACTTCTAGAAAACATAGGTTTCGTGCTATTAATTACACGAATATCAAACAATAAGACCAATAGATCACGAGAGAACGATGCTAGAGAACGAACAGTTGAATATAAGGCCACATAGTACAATCTAATGATGCAATGTTTACAAGATGAGTGTGCAATATGTCGAACACAAACAGTTGGTGAAGTCCACATCAATGGCGTGGTTCAATGTAGCCTACACATGTACGAAAATGGAGTATAGCTGACAGACAATCCTAGAGATTAACAATGGAAACCAATCTGCAATAACAACAAGCAAAGATTCTAGATAACCTGATAGGGAGATGCAACAAAAGATAACACAGAAAGTTGTTCGAAGGACTTTCACCGTAACAGAATGCCTATGATTAAAGAACTTAGTAGGTTCAAAAGCTAATCGTCTCCTGGTCATTTGAATACAAACCCTTAAAGATGAATAGGTCGGGGCGGAAGACGAGTCATACGCAAGTTGGCTTATAAACGACAATCCGCATCCAATCGGAACCGGGGGAAATTGTGGACAGGGTATGCTTTAACTAAAGCGTGACGATCACCCTATTGCATTGTACGACAAAATAATGAACCCAAATCAAAAAGAATTGTCACCGAAATACACTGATCGAAAATTTTAGTCCAACTTCAATCCATATTATCCTTGGAAATGGGGCTCTTGGTCTGAGATTGGAGGGGAGTAACTATAACCTGATACCTCAAATAACCAGCCCCTTCAGAATTAGCACACGGAGCGAAGTGGCTTTTTCAACCATATTATGCCAAGCCTACGAAATTTCCTTTGTGAACTGATAAAAACCTAGGCGTCCGCCACAGTACTCAGCAACACCTACCACATGCATGATAACAAAAACAGTGGGTCTCATGCAGCAATTCGACCGGTATCAAGGCAGCAAGTGAACAGAGTGTTTGTTTTGTGTGCTCCAGCTTCCCCTTCTCACATGAGTGACATCGAATTTTTGGGTGTAGAAACCAACGAGTTATCCATCCACTCACACAAACAGCTACATTCAAAACAGTTGGGTTTGATAGACAAACAAGACCCCAGAGCGGAACGAGAAATCTCAGTAGTGACGTGTTCCTGTTACGCATTGGCCTCAAAATCAGACCCCATTGGGAGAAATGGAACGTTAATCACAATGATGAACCAACGAGAGCCAACAGGGGGGATGTAATAAGTCAGGATTGCCACCATTACGTATGCATTCACTCCATTCGTGTCCAACGCCAGTCCATCCGAAAATATTCAGTTCCCCAATACAGACCAAATTGGAGCACGCAAGAAATGCATTCCCAGGACTTCGTACCCAGATGATTAGTTGTTGCGTAAACGCACAATGGACGCACCAAATCCCAGAACATTGTATTCACACGCATATCAACCTGGTGCTTGTTGGTTGAATTCGCTCAAGATTTTTGTTCTGAACTGATACCGATCTAAGCATATCGAATTATATGAATAACACTCGACAGTCCTTTTCTATTTTTCAAGCAGTTATGTTCTTTTCAGTTTTTCCTCACCTACGGTTTGCTTGTCCTATGAGTGGATCAACTACAAGCGTAATAGAAATCTTCTGTAGGTAGTGGTGAATTGCCAACAATGGTCCCACCAACTTGAGCAAATTCCGTATGAATGCTTGTGGGATATCGTCAATAGTTAGAATTTTACATCGATTCTTCGGCAGAGCTATATGAGAAAGCTTAACAAACTCCTGAACTACATACTTGATTAACGACCATCAGATAGTACAAGCAGCAGTTGATTTATAAAAGAAATTACAACTTTCGTAAATTCACATTAATAAGGGCGAAATCTCAGGGTGTGGAAGGTACTGTGGATCTGAAAGACATAACATTTGGCTTTTAGTGGCGCACCATTTTCGCTGCAGTATAGGAACTGGAATAAGACGATTTTGCGAAAGTTGGTTTCCAGCTGTTTTATGATGTAACAAACCACCCCGAAGCTCTTTATATGGTTATTCAGTCCTATGTGGATCATACCGTGCGCAGGAGGGACAAATGTTAATTTCATCTCGAGTAATAGTCCACCAGTATCTGATCATCTGGATAACGGCAATAAACATGAATAAACTGACCGCGGGTAAATATCTCATGGATTGCATTATGGTGACACAATGCTACTGAGTCCCCGATTGTAATCTTATGATCATTAACTGGTAAAAAAATATTCTTGACTTCGTACATACATAGTCCGGTCGATATTTGCGATACAACAAAGCATATACTTATCTGATGGCATTGTTACTTCGATAAACAGCTCAGCATCATAAACCAGAGACATAATGGTAGTTCGCAACTGTTACTTCCAAACCCCACCCACCCGCATACAGACGTCTGATTCCCGATGCTCAGAAGACGTTCCGGATGCATTGTACGCAAAAAGAAGATATATTTGGAAGCCAAGGTGCTTCATATGCTTACGTTGATACCAAGTTCTCACCACACCCCTTGGCATTTGCTAAACAGATTGAAGGCGTTTACTGTCTGAACCAACACAGTCATTAGAAAAAATGTAAATACATCTCGCAGACAGCAAAGTCCCTACGTCGAATTACCCACAGAGGAAAGAGATCAAATCACGGACTCCGGGAATATCCTGATCGACTTTGCGGTTACTTGCCAGTGGTAGCAGTGCGATGAACGACAGGGCACCCACTGTAATTGAAAGACCCAACCCGGAAGAAATCAATACTATTCGGATTTAGAGGCCTATCATTGAAGACGGATTTTCAACAGCGAATCTTTGTAAGAAAAAAGTTATATTTTGTTCAATTCACACCAGCAGATGACAGATGAGTTTTTAGTATGCCGTTTGTATGAGCGAACTACACCACAAAGTTGATCAGTTTTTCAAATTACTCCGATCTTTGTCACTCAGGATGATACCATATAATCCAGTGAACCTCCTAACTGTATCAGGTTGATGGATCATAAGATATTAAATCCTATATCAATGGGGAGATCCAGAAAAACAACCCATGCGGCCCAGCTGTTGGCGAATTTCCGTCTACATGGCAGTAAAAATAGGAGCCTTGGTTTACATAAAATGATTGCAATGGTTTCGAATCACTGGAATCTGGGTTTAGACCACATTCACTGAAAAATAAGATACTCTTAACAAAAATTGCGATGTTACTGTTGGGCGTTGAAAGTTATCACATGGAGGATCGGGCACGGAGCAAGCCTACAAACATTTGCATCCGGTTTTCAGTAGATCGTATAGAGACAGAGTGTGAAACTGCCGTGGGACGACGTGCTTTGGGCGAAAATAACAGTGTATAGCAAGTTCTTTCTCACGATAGTTGGTTTGTTCAACTCGATACGAACTAGGAATTCTGCGATCGACAACGCGCTGTAACTCGACAGGTTAACTGAACAGAATATGGTTGGAAAACAACACAGACTGAAAGGCACCTGAACAAAAAACGAGTTCCTTTGGTTTTCAGACAACTTGGCGTCAAACATTGCATTCCCCCGATTACAAGGATCCAAAAACAAGCAGGCCCATCTGAATAAGGAGGGGTACTTGATAAAGACTTCAGAACGGATTACGGTTCAACAATATGCTGATGGTAAAAGCGAGTCGAACACGAGGTTGGTGAGCTACCATACAGTCGGGTAAACAACAAGAACTCCGAACATTAACAATTGTGACCGGTTCTGGCGGGGAGGAGACGGCAAGAACAGTTGGCGGTGAGGAAGGAAGCATAAACAATGAGTCACAGGTCTAAATAATGGGCACGGGTACCCGCGCCCATCTTTTTTGGTCCAGCCCTGATCAGTCAAATGAAAGAAACACACGGAAGTGGAATAATAACACATGTTCAAAGATAGTTGAAGTAGCCTGAACCCGTTCATTTTGTGGGATCAAGTACAATCAAACAAATGAAACCTCGAAGGAAGTCGGAATGAAATGCATATTTGATGCTGCAAAAAGTCTCTCGCCTTAAAATGTTGTCTATTAATGTAAATTGTTTGGCAAGATCTCTATCTAGCGGAACATCCTCGTCTAGTCACAATCAATATGATGATGGGCGTTAGCATAGTAAGGAGTTTATATTACTTCCAAGAAATGACTAATAGAGGACAGTGCAATATACATATCCCCGTCGCCAATCAGTGCGTGATTTGAAGAAAAACGATCAGGGTGATCAACTCCACCCCGTACATAGGCATGCCACATGAAAGCAAGGTTGAATAACATTTACAGGTTAAACACACATCAATATGCGCATTGGATCATTCGCGTAGCATGAGCCGGTCCAGCTATGTCCTATCAGGTCGATACCGAACCTAGTAGCATTATGATGAGGAACGGAAGCAAAACAGATCAGTCTACAGCCAGCAGAAAATAATGGCTTTTGTCTTGTACAGTGAAAATCACGCAGTGTGGAAACGGTAAAATTCGTTTGAAACCTCTAAATCTAATCCAGTTTTAATTGCTATCTTTCGCCTTCTAATCGAGTCGAAGGTTAGGTAGCCCTCGTTTTCAAGCAAATGAAACCGGTTTTTACACAGAAACAGTATTCAGCCAAGTGAGCTGGAAAATAACATTCCATGACAAAAAAGAGCACGATTACTTAAACCAGCCTATTTCGTTTCATCCCGCCATTCCTCATTTTGGATTTGATCCAATAGCCTGCAGTAAAACAACACAAACAGGTAGATCAAATTCCAGTAGATCAGCTTACAGCCAAATGCACTAAACATAGGTACCCAAATCAAACTGGTTACCACGGGCAGTGAGATAACAATCAGGCCAACACCATACAGAGCATTAAGATAACATGGATCAGTGATGCGTATCCTTTTTATTCAAGCACGAACCAGGTAATGTGCATAAACCGATGATACGCAAAGAATACGTGGTTGCTCTGCCGAGAGGAAAATAGCAACAGGAGAAGTCAATGACAAACGGATGGTTATCAGTTTCACGGGAGTACAGACGATTAAAAAAGCGGTAAATTGGAATGAGAAGTACAAGTGTGATAAGGGCTAAAAACCACAGGGAAAGAACATCTGCTCTTCCAAGCACCTCCGCAAAGGCAGGACCAAATTGGCTGCTCCAAATAAATAACAATTTGAGTGGTAATAATATATAGAACGTAATACTGATGTAGAGAAGCAACAGATTCAACTACAGCGCAATCGAAATTCCGCGGTGTTTCGGGAAATGGAATGAGAAATAGCGGCGCACAAACAAGAGTAAACGTTTGCACACATATATTTACATATATGTGAATCTGATCGTCTGTGCTCTCATGCAATAGAAAAACGAGAGGCTGTCGAAGATGAGACGACGTAGCAATCGCCGTTATACGTGAATGCCGGAAAAAAAGAAACAAAACAAAGTAGAACCGGATGGGTTTATGTTTGAGAACAAAGGTCCCATGAGCGACTGGGCAATCGAGGCACTTTGTTGCAGTGGCAGTGGAGGCATGGACGAACGAGTGTGCAGTGAAAAACGACAGCTATTGAGCATGAATCCTTGAGGCGCATGGTCCGCAACAATGAGAGCTGGGAAGACGTAAAACCTCGGGCAAAAGGGTACTGAAACGGCGGTCTTACAATTGCGGAAAGCATAGTGAACCCGGATACCCTTCTGGTAAATGACAGATTGATAGCGTACAGCAGCATCCGTCGTCAGGTTCACTGGCGACGAGGTCCGTAAATTTCTATTGCAAACTGCTGATAGTTCAATGCACCATTGTCTCCGCCAGGACCGTTCATTCGTGACATGTGCTCGATGCAATACTCGGCATCTTCCGGGGACAGATATCTCTTGAGGTCGGCAGCTGTCACACAACCCTGAAAGAGAAGCGAGAATTAAAATTCAGTCAAAGCAATCAACAAAGAGCAACGAGTAAACTGTTTCATAGCGATAACCTTTTCTTTTTAGAAAACAGTGCAACGTACTTTATCTCCAGCAAGAGCTTTGAATGACTGAATGATCTGTTCTGCGGTGTCTTGATCAGCACTTTCGCGAGTCATGAAATTGAGAAAACCTTCAAAAGTGACGTAACCCTTTCTGCCCGGATCAACTTGTTGCATAATACGCGAGAAATCGGTTTCACCCTGTATCGGAAAATCCCAAAGGAAAACCGTAAGTATATTGCAGAAGATGCGTTTAGTTAAATATACAAACACTCGGCTATACATCGGTATACAGTTACTGCAGTGGTTAAACAAACAGATAGGGAAGGGAGAAAGTCATAATAGGTGCACGCACAGCAGTAAACTTCAATTTGATGCAGTCTAGTCCGTGACACAGTTGACAGCACGACGAAAATGGTAGGAATACGCAAGCTCACGGGAATAATAATAAAATGATCGCGATAATATAGGAAACTGCGATCCCGAACAACGAAAAAACAGCTCAAAGAGAAGGTTCGAAGGCGATGAATGGGATAAAACCGACACTCAGTGGAGACTTTCTCAGCGGAAAAACTGTAGTTTAGACTTTGTAGTTCGGAGTGATGAACTAATACGAAATAGGACGATAGATATCAAATCGCGGGGGAACGAAATCACTTGTCACCAAGAAAGGTCGGGTTGATCATGCTTGAGCTTTGGGTCTCAAAATTATGCGCAGTAAAGTGAATACAATCACTTCTCCAAGGAAGATGTACAAATTCTGCAATTCTGCAAGTCATACAGTTGCCCAAGCCAGCCTCTGAAAGCCTCGGCATGGTCGAGAATGGGTGTCTTCGGTTGTGGCTGGTCACCTTTGAACCTCATGAAATGCTCCTATACGACCAAGCGTATCAAAGAGCTTCTGTTGAAGAAGCCCTAATCACTGCCAACTCATGGCGGTGTTTCCCACAAAAGTGGAGGACGAAAACTCAATATCCAGGATGAAAACCTCGTTGGTGAATCACAGACAGTTCACCTACAGTAGGTAGCTAAAAACCCTGACTCCAAAACAACAAAGAGCCGTACGAATCACACCCACCCAATCACACCTTCCTGGTTGTGGCAGTAGTCACCGGATCAATCAGACATTGTGTTGGAGTGTATTGGGCACGTTTGACCCCACCTAAAGGGCGGATGATCCGATCAACTGAAAACCGGCCCCGAATGGAAAGCGGTTTTCACATACCATCCCCTTGCCTTGCAGGTCAGGACTAAGCCGACCCAAGGCTCCGATTGAAAATCACAGATAAAAATTACTTACTTTAGCCTGGGCAGTACTGCCCAAGAGCAAACCACAGTACTTCTTCGTTTAGGATTGTTATAGCGTGATTTGTTTAGCTTACAGTCTGGATTCAGACGTGTGTGAAAGACACTCAACACAAACCGGGGTAAAAGTGATTGGCTTAAAGAGCCGCACCTTGAGACTCAAAAGCCCGTCATAGAGCAATCAGGTTGTCTTTGAGGTATAAAATCCGTTGAGGGGTCCGTGTTTGATCAATGGATTCGTGAGAATTCTGATCACAGCGCCAGTGTTTTTGNTCCTATTAGACCACTTGCGTGTTGAGTTTGATCACGCAGCAGTTTTAGTCTGCTTCACTCTCCAACTCATCGGACAGCAGCAAAATTCGCCTCCTCAATCAGTTTCTTAACGTCCATGCAATCCAGCATTTTGCATGCGTTGGTCAGGGGCTAGGAGCACTGCCGTGGCAGAGTAGATCAACAGAGGGATCAAATAAGAGATGCGGTGCACTGATTTGTAGGCTGAGCTCGAAGTTCGTCGACGACATTAGACCTCTCAGGAGTCGGCAGTCTCGATATGACAAAAGCTAAAGATCCCAATCTGCCAGGATTAACATAGGAACCGGTGGTGTCTGCAACATCAACTCCGGAAAAAACCTTAGGATAGATCATGAAAACTCATGGGTCAAAACAGCTAGTGAAACGCAAATAATTTCTGCATCAGGGAATAATCAGACCGTTTCACCTGATACGCAGTATCGAAGGTCGATGCATACTGGTCAGTGAGATAATTGGCGATAAAGGTGGACAATATCCACAATAAAGAACGACTGGGCAGTATATTTTAGTGAACAGTTCATTTGGCCTGATGCTAATGCGGTTAGTCCCGTAATTGCAGCGGAAACTCCATGGATGCTTCCCCCCCCCCCTGCCACAGACACAGAATTAGAAGTACGAAGATGTATTCAATCATTAAAGAAAGGGAATACTGTGGGACTTGATGGGTTTCTCCTCATTCTTTTTAAGCTGGGTGGTGACTCTCTCGTCGACTCGATTACTAGCTTAATTTGTAGCATTTGGAGGAGGAGCGTATCCTTTTGTCCGGGTGTGAATCGTTGATTGTTTCGATCTTCAAGAAGGGATCGCGCAGACTGCACTAGTCTATTTCCGATCCTCATAAAATTGTTATCTTCTGTGATACTTCGCCGCCTGACACCTTTAAGAGAAATGAACGCTCGCGAACAGTAAGCAGGATGCGAGCCAGATCGCGGTGGCATTGATCAAACGTTCATCCTGCGTCAAGTCCTTCAGTAACGCCAAACACAATGTTCACCAACAATCACTGCTTTTCCTGACCTAAAAGGAGTCTGCGATTCACCTGACCGCGAACTCTTATTGGGTTCGCTGCCCTGAAAGGAAGTGTGTAAACCTATTGAGATCACTGTACTTGCATAATTCGGGTAACATGAGGATCTACGGTGGGCTAAGCAAATCGTCCGAAACCAGAAGCGGTGTTTATCAAGAGTACGCTATTTCGCCGTTCCTGGTCGATTTCGTCGTAGGCGAAATATTGGAGAACACACTATGTAGTATTTATCTGATATTTCATGGAGAGCCGGAGAGAGGCTGTGACATTTGGAGTACACTGACAGTATTGTTTGCCCGTTCAAATGCGTCGAGGATGCGCAAAGCGCTCCTGACAGACTCAAGTTCTGTAAGTCCATTCCGTACGCGCTTTCCACCTTCAATGTGTAAAGCGTTGCTGCAAGACTGGGTTTTGGCCACCCCGGCTCTGGTGCTTGGCGCCGATGTGATGTTCCCTTGAAACTGAAATTTCGCGAACACTGCGCCGTTGTGCGGTCAGTTCTACTTAACGGCTGCAAGAACTTAAATTTATTCACGGAAGACATTCATCATCAGTCGAAGACTGATGATGCTTATGTGGCTTGGCGTGAATCGGATGGAGCATGCGTGGACGCAACACTGAGGTAACCTGTCGAGTATTTGGTAATGATTTGATGGAAAATTCACTAGCACATGGAATTCAGATCGGTGGCCTTTGTTGTTTAAGAAAATTCTTGAGTCTACCTAGTTGTCTACCCCGCGGCGCCCTATTTCCAATTGTCTCCAGGTTTAAGGAAACCACGGGAAGGTCAACAGATAACGTGGAAACGAGGCATGAAGAAGTCCAAAGGGTGTTTCCTTGGAGTAGGTGTCTCCCGTTTTCAAGGTTAAGGTTAAAAGATTGCAACTGGTTGGTTGGAGTCGCTGAAGGATATGGCAATTGATCGGCAGTAGTGACGTTCTTGTTGTCGTTCGTTATCGGACCAGAATACTTGAAAAGGTATGTATGCACATTTAAGTTATGTACTGCGTTGGCCATTGAAGTTCATTTTCCTCGCCTCCATTCAATTAAGGCAAATCTCTGTTAATCTTACACATTCCTACTAACTCGGTGTACATGGTGCAAGCTTGGCACTGTAATTCGCTTCACTTTGTCTCGCTGTCCGGTGATAATGAGGATGATGTTTACGACACCCTCTATCCTAAACAAATGGTTGTCCCTAATAAGGCAGCTTGTATATTTTCACCAGAGGAGTCAGATGATGGTAGTTCAACAGATCACATATTTTTGCCAACCCATTTTAGTGGTAACGCTTTTTTCAACGTCAGCAGAGCGTGGGCCTCTTCCAACAGAATTTGCGCATAACGACAAGTGACTTAGACTACTTCACTGTTGAAAGACACCGCAACAGTTCAAGTAGTGTCCATTTTGTGCTCGTAATCAGTGCTTTTTATTCTTACATCACAGAATAATAGCGGGAAAGGGGTTAAAATTGAAATAAAAGTAGATTCACGCAAGTACCCATGCATGATCATTATCACATGCAAATGATCTAAAAACTTCATCAAGAGTGAGCACAATTGAACACGAATACAAAACGGGACACCAGCGAAAACAACCGAACAATCCTGGGAAACACATCTGACCACCATCATCAAACCTCGAATAAGACGAGTTCACCGACACATCAAACCGGAACAATGATAATCATGGATTAAGAAACGAGTAAGAATATCGACAGAGACATTGAACAAAAAATGGGGGAAAAGCTAAACAAAATCGAGTTAGGTACATAAAAAGTGCGAGCACGCACACAGACACACCAATCAACAACAACCGATAATGAATACAACCGGGGAAAAATTCGGTAGGAGACTAAATCGTACTGTAATTGTGCTAATCACATAGGAGCTCAAAAGAGAGGAGTGAACTCTGAATCGGGTATACAAGATATATACATATATATGTACTAGGTGCATGACGAAAGCAATTAGTGCAGCTGAAAGCGGAAAAGAGTTCGGGGACACTTTGACAGAGGCTAAATGGCAGAGCACTCACGACTACAGCATTTGTATTGGGCAGGGACTAGAACACAAGTGAGTGAACACGAGCGACCGGATAGAACGAAAAGTGCAATTAGAGAAAAAGCGGTTAGTGGAATTAATTGCAGTGAATATTCCAAACAGCAACAAATTTGCTAAGACGGAAAAAGGCTTGAATGCAATGCATGAACTTTCAGACTAACCAAGTAGATACATACGTGCATCAAAGAACAAGCCTGGAAAGATCTAATCTATGGTAAGAAGTCTTTCGTAAACGATTCTCTTGCTCATTATGCCAAGGCGGGCGAAGTGTTTTTCGCCATTCCCACGTTCCCCGATTTCTATTGGTTGGGCAAAACCTGGCAAACATAATCATCACAAAAAGTTTACAAAATAGTTCAACCTGTCGTATCAGCATTTGTGTAAATAAAACCGGGGGAAGATAATAGGCATGATTAAATGCAGTGACCGCTGTTTGTGAATGTACACGTCTGCAGGCGGGAAACATAATGAACGGATTGGAATTGTCGGTAATATAATATTTCTTATTGCGAACACGGTTAGTTTTGAGGATAATTTGTGAAGTATGTGCAGATGACGTAAACGTGCAAGCCCATATTCAATCCAAAAAGATTGACTTCTGACGGCAACGGAACATGACCAAGAACTCACCCCGCGTTTGTCGTCACTAAACTTATGTCCCAACGACACCAAACATGCTTTGAATTCATTAGGCTCCAGACGACCAGTGCGGTCTTTATCGAAGTGACTGAAGCAGGTGCGAAGATCCTCCATTTGTTCTACTGACAACCCTTTGGAGTCGCGAGTCAAAATTTGATTTTCGATCTCGTTTACGGAATGGTGTAGTGAAGTGAATAGTTGCTCCCAAGCAACCCGTAGAGTAGGCATGGACAGAGTAGTAAATGGATTGTCAAAAACGTAGGCGTCCTCCAAAGCCTAAGACAGGGAGACATATGGAGACGATGAGGACGCGGTGAAACAGAGGTGAATAAACGGGATGAACACGATAACTGGAAGTAAGCAATGTGGACGATACACAGTATTTACCCGCGATGGAAATAAACGGTTGGAATGAAGTAGTGATTTATTTCTACAGTTGGGCAGATGTATATACTTGAACGTATAAAAAACGAGCGATTCTTAAATATTAGTAGTGGAGGTTAATTTCGTAGATGAAATATTTTTGATGTCAGTAGTCTATTTGAGAAGAACTACTCCTTGATGGAGTTAGGAGAATTTAGTAATAACGGTGTTCTCATTGTATAAATGACACCTGAGTATTAGGTAAGTGGAATCAGCAAGACAGGTGACATCGACGGGTACCGTGAAACAAGCAACTCAACAGTAAATATGAATTTCAACTTGTTTATTTATCTCAAGCTGATAAACAGGAAAGAGATCAAACTCACATATTACATTGCGATTAAAAGTTTAGTCACCTAGTGATGCCGCTTTATTATCCATAATATAATTAAAACGATTCGCCAGAAGTGTGTTTCAGTGACTCCGAATACTTGCCTGAAAACAACCGATCAAAGGATTATCATCAAAACTAGCTTTCACTCATACTCCTATACGACCAAGCGTATCAAAGAGCTTCTGTTGAAGAAGCCCTAATCACTGCCAACTCATGGCGGTGTTTCCCACAAAAGTGGAGGACGAAAACTCAATATCCAGGATGAAAACCTCGTTGGTGAATCACAGACAGTTCACCTACAGTAGGTAGCTAAAAACCCTGACTCCAAAACAACAAAGAGCCGTACGAATCACACCCACCCAATCACACCTTACTGGTTGTAACAGTGGTTAACGGCTCAATTGGAAATGTTCTGGGCACATTTGACGTTTGTCCCCGTCCGAAGGGTGCATGACCTGATCAACTGAAAACCGATCCCCAATGGAAAGCGGTTTTCGCATAACGCCCCACTGCCTTGCAGGTCAGGCTTCAGCTGACCGAAGGCTCCGATTGAAAATCACACAGAAAAATTTACTTGCTTTGGGTAAGTTGTTGTATTCTAACCACGAGCAAATCATCGTTTCATCTTATTTATCAAGATTATTGTACCGTAATTTGTTTGGCAAACAGCCTGGACCCAGAGAATGAAATGTTATGTTAGAATATACTGGCATTATTGCAATGTCTTCCAAATAACCTTGCACACTTTGTTTCCTCAAACGGATCAGCACCGTTTGATATTATCACGAGTGTTGAAAAAACACAGCTAAATGTAACAGATGATAGCAATAAGTTAGTAATAACGTGAATCTTGCACGTGCCAATAGTAGAAGGCTCCCGGATGAAGGGAGCGCTAGTCAATATTGTACCTGATTGCAATGATCTAGATCATCCAACATCTTTTTGTGTTTCATCAATTCGGATTCCAAGCGCTTCAGTTGATCTCTCTGTTCTTCAAGTGTACCACGGGCCTCCATTGCATTTTTGGTTATGGCTGTCTTCTGTTGTTGGATGAATTTATCGAACTCGGTCGCCATTTGTGCGAATTCTTTGCGAAGTTTATCGTTTGCCAGTTGTCGTTGCTCTTCATTATGTAATGCGTCGCTTCGCTTTTTGACCAACTCTTTAATCAATGCCCAACGCTTCGGTAATTCCTAAATATCAAAAACAGAAAAAATGGAGTTAACAATTTTCACTCAAGATAATCAGGTTCGTTGAGGACGGACAATTCCAATATTCTGAACAATGAAAGTTCAGTCATGGAAACCTGAAAACTTCAACAAAAAGTTCCCAAATGTCCTTTTTATATTCGTACAATGCACATTCGATTCCATTGCTTATTCGATTAAATGGTAACCACGTTCTTGTGTAATCATTCCCCTGCAACTTGATGGTGACGACTGAATGGGTATGGAAATATTGAAGATTTTTCTACAGTTATATCTAACCGATAAGACAAACGACGAAGAATGTTTGAATAATTTGGTATACATTGTACTTTGAGTAAGATGTGCAAATAAGTCAAATAGGAAATATTTGACGAGGAACTTGTGTTAGGTACTGAACTATGATGAAGGCGGGGATAAAATCAAAATCAATGGCTCCAAACTATAGGCCCTGGGATTCGAGGTAGCGGAATACACCAAGACAGCTGAACGACAACGAAGTCGGTTGCGCAGGACTGGATACCGGTTTCTTCTTCCGAAAGAGCAAACAAATTCCGCTTTTCTGATCTGAGCAGTGCTCTTTACTCAACTTTTCACATCCGAGAGAATAGAGGAAATCAAAAATTGCGTTTCGATAAGCAGTGTGCTCAATTACCAAGCAATAGTGGCAATCGAAGTAATACGTGGAGGCAACAAAGAACATGATTGACTCATTAGGTCCAATAGAGAAAGAACAACAGGAGTTCCAGAGAAACAAAGAAACATGTCTTTTTACTTCCTTTTTTATTTATTGAATGTACAAGTGTACAGTCAACTTTCAGGAAGGGGGCTGCGGCCATACAAAGGCTGCCTGGGGAAAATACAGAAATAGGAAAGACGGGTGGCGGTGGAGCGGCTCGAACCCGGGACTTTCGGATCACAATTTGGTGACCTAACCACTTGGCCACCACTGCCAAGCACCTGGTGAGGGCAGAGGGATTGAGGGTAAATTCTGGAACTTTCCGATAACTTTTTTCAAGCGCGACGTGTCATACCACGTTAAGTCAACGCGGTGTGATTGGGGTCATGGCTCGATTCGTCACGTGCGATGGGGAAAAGCCAGGTCAATTGGAATGAGGTAACCGTCTTTTCTGTTTGTATAGCGGTGGATTTACGCCTTTATTTGTTTTACTTTCTTTGAATATATAAAGACAATTTTCAGGAAGGAGGGAAGCGACCAACCAAAAGGCTGTCATAGAAGAAAGAGAATGCGTAGTCAGGTGGCGGTGGGATTCCAATACAGGTCCTCCTGTGTGATAATTTTGTGACCTGTACCACTTTAGCCCTACCGTCCGCTTGTGATTGCCATCACCAAGTGGCAGGGTAATTAGAGAAGTGGGCTTATGAGTACATAAACTTATATGCATCGTTGTCTATCTGGTGACCGCTGTTATCAAAGTGGACCACGAATGTGCTGTTTCTTGCTTTCTTGTGTCCCCTACTTAGTCAGGCCTGTTTGCGTTCTCTGACTTTGTGAGAACTGTTTCATGGTTTGTCCTAAGATGNATGTGTTAAGATGTGTCTGAAGATGTGCAAGGAATAGGTATTCCTTGCATGGACAAGAAGATAGACAGTTCCTCTTCAAGGTGTGTGCAGCGTTTTGATAGACTCAATAACGTAGCATGTAGAGTGGCGGTTGGACAAGTCCATGTTTTATTCAATCATCTCACATCTCCGTTGAAGAGGAGCTGCAAGAACATTTTTGTTCCCTTTGACGACAATTGTAATAGAGATTTTCTCATGATTATTTTTCCGCATATTAGTAAGGAGTATGGATTTGATGGTTTTAGTTAAAGTAACACCGTGAAGCAGATCCTTCCAGCTCTAAAGGCTGGACATTGTGCTAAGTTGCGTTTGTGTTTGATTGCAACAAAAATTTG